TGTGAGGTAAAAATGCTCGCGTTCTGTCGATGGAGAGCTGAACATAAAGACAGGCTGGTCAAGCTCCACAGACTAGAGTTTGATTCTGTGTAACAGCGTTACATGATAAGGTTACTGGTCACCTACTGCAGAGTCAGCTGGTAACTAGGTGTCCCTGCTCATGGCAGAGGGGTTGGAACTAGATGATCTTAAGGTCCTTTCCAACCCAAACCATTCTATGATTCTGTGATTTAGGTTGGAAAATACCTTTCAGATCATCAAGTCCAACCATTAACCCAGCACAGCCAAGTCCCTCAGTAAACCATATCCCGAAGTGCCACATCTACACATCTTCTAAATATCTCCAGGGATGGCAACTCCAGCACTTCCCTGGGCAGCCTGTTCCAATGCCTCATCACCCTTTCAGTCAAGACATTTTTCCTAATACCCAATCTAAACCTCTCCTGGTGCAGTGTGAGGCCTTTACCTCTTGTCCTATCGCTTGTTACTTGGGAGAAGAGACCAACACCCAGCTCACTACAACCTCCTTTCAGGTACTTGTAGAGAGTGGTACGGTCCTCTCTGAGCCTCCTTAGCTAGACTGTGAGTTACCACGACGAAGGTGAGAAGTCATGTACCTGTGAGCCAGGTGCTGTTATTCCTATGAGGACAGGCTGCTAGGAGTTGAACAGGTAACCAGAAAACTCTGATTTCATATCCTTGATACAGGGATATGTCTTTCTTAGCCAGATGCCTTGGTCTGAGCAACCCGACTCAGAGCAAGGTTTCTGCTTCATTGCTACTGCTGTTAGCATCTTTTCTTCACACACCTTCACCCCCCTTATCACAGCTTTGGGAGGCTGGGATATATTTCTGGTCCCAGTGGCAGATGTACAAAGTTTCACCTTTTATTTTTCTTCCCTGAGACACCTGTTTATCCAGACCCTGGTTATCCAGGGCATGTGATGAAGAGCTACAAGATGAGCTCTTAGCTGTGGACACAAAAAACCTTTCAGTTACCTGTCTAGAATTGTTGAGGCTCTGTTTGCCTGTGGAAGAATGGCAGCCTATTTGTTGTTCTCCAAATATGGATATGGCCAGAAGATGTCAGTCAAAAAATTATTAAAAAATTCCAACCTAAAACTAATCCCTCAATTTTATGACCTAGAATCAGAGCGTAGTCAGCAAGACGTAATTTACCACTGTGATATAATTGCTGTGAAATACAGTTTTTTAATCAATGGGATAGCAAGACACGGATAAATTGTATTCCGACTGGCAGTGTTACAGTCCCACTGTTCCATGATGAGCTACTCCATAAATACGTTTTAAAAAATGTAAATGCCTATCTGATAAATCCTGAATATGGAAAGTCTTACTTAAAAGCAAATCAACACATCAAGGACAGAAGAAAATTATGTATAAGAAAAGAAGCGGTATTCTTGTTCTGATGGGATGCTTCAAATTAGGGAAACAAAGCAGCATAGATGACGCATCTGACTTTGGAGTGGGATCTGTCATTGTGCCAGGGTCTGTCCTTGCCCAGCTGGTCGTAGGCTAAGGGCCAAACAAGACAGCAGCCAATGTGAAACATAGATCCACACCTATGTATCTGAGACAGGTGTTCTTCTAGATGTTATGGGAGTCCAGCATGCTGATCCACACATGGAGGTCTTATTATCCAGCTCTTGTGAGAGTTACTTTTCCACTAGGTAAAGGAATACTGTGAATATTTTATTTATGCTGCCTACTAAAAGTGGTAAAAACTGCACTGATTTTCCACACAAGCTAAATAACACTGGTTGTATGGAAAGAGGGTTTTACTGTGAACACAAAAAAGAAAATGAATGCTATTTGTGTCTCCAAATTCCATGCTAGTAGAAAGTCAATCTCCACATTTTAATTAGATAACCAGTACATGGAAGTAGCACTGAAGACATTCTCCTCCTCTCTTGGCAGGCAACCTTGGTTTTATGGCTGGGGCTTTAATCTTCCACGAGGCCAAGCACTATTAGAGAAATGGAACCTTATTCCAGATGGAATAGATATTCTTATAACACATGGACCACCTCTCGGTAAGAAAATGCTAGTGCTCTTAGCTGTGTATTTCAGATGATTATAAGTAACTGATGCCTCTCCTTAGACAAAGAGTGCAATCCTGACTTACGAAAGTCAAAAGTAACATGCATACTGATTTCAGCAGCGACAGGACTCCAGCTCAGGTTTATGTTTCATGATTACCTATGCTCAGTGGTAGGGAATTAAATAATGGCTTAAAAAATAAAGCCTTACCATATAAAGCCCTAATGAGCTTTATAAATAAGCAAGGTCTGGTTTTCCTATGCATCTGTCCACTCCACCACTGGTATGGAGTCTGCTTGAAGAGAAATGCAGGATTGGGATCTTACATTGTTAGGACCGCCTTTCTCCCTTACTTACAGTAGCATTCCCTCACCAACAAGTATCCAGAGTCTGTATTTTTCCTCATCATGGTGCATCTTCTGCCTAACAAACCCAAATGCTGCCATTGTTTGGCTGTTCTTTGGACAGTGTGGGTGAATTGCCTATCTGTAATACAGTCTGGCAACACTAACAGACCAACAGGAAAGAGTTTTGTATTTGTATTTTACAAATATTTATATAGGTGATAGAAAAGTCAGGAGAGATTTCTTGCATTCCTAGAAAAAAGCGAATTATGTGTGTTATAGAAATAATGTAATCCCAGAAATCTGTCCAGATTTAGTAAAGCTTTTAACATGGTTTTCAATGTTTTAACATATAGCAAGCTACATTTAATGCAGCTACATGTTTAACTCTCACTAATCAGTGGACATGAAGGTGAAGCATGTACTTAAGTGGTCTGCTGAGTCTTACTGTTGAGGAGTGCTTTGTGTGAAACGAAGGCAGCTGCTTTCTTTAAACCTTTAGATTCCCCAATTTCCGGAAGGTAAAACCCTCTTGTCTTCCACCCTTTCTTCTTCTCTTTCAGAGCTTGGAGGAGAAAGTATCTAAAGGGTTTGTGTTTTGTTGTTTTCTTTAGAAAGACATGTTTGCATTCCACTGCTTACTAATCCTGGGGAAAAGAGCTTCTTTGTGAGCATGGTTTCTCACAGTGAAGGCGTATGTTTTGATACTTCACCCAAGTGGAGTCTCATGTCATACCATAGACTGATTTTAATATGGACCTCTATTGTAAAAGTGGATGACAGAAATTAATTATTTAGACCTTGAGATATCAGCTCCAAACAGTTATTACTGGGGATAATCCCTGTTAGGATCCAAGGCATGACTCTGGGTCTTTGCTATACTTTTATTTATAAGTCATATTTAACACTTTTTCAGAAGCTTTTTCAGCATTTTAAAGCCATTTTTAAAACCAGCTGATCAGCTGTAAAGAAATCCAACCTTCAGTTGATCCAAGCAATATCCCTGTATCTAGCACATGAAATCCGGTGTTGGAAAGTGGAGAGTGGGGTTTGCACCACTCGGCTTTAGCCACCTTGCTAATTTAGCCACCAGGCCTCTCCAGGCAGCCTCTGGGATCAGCAGAGGCAGGAGAACCTCTAGAGAGCACTGCAGAGCTGACACTCAGCAGATATGCTTTAATAATAAATGTAATAATGAATTTAATAATTGTAGTAATTCTGATGAAAAGCTGTCCATCTCCACTGACTGTAATCGGGTAACATGAATTCCCCCATCTCCATGTCTCAGTATTCGTTCTCTTTTTGTTTTTTAATTCTTAAGCATCAACCATCCTCCCAGGGTTTTGTTTTTTAAAAGTTCACGTTTCTTTGTCTTTTTGATGCATTAATAGATGGCTCAGGCACAGAACCCTCTGCCTGAGGGCATCAGCTGTTGGTCTTCCTGACACCCATGGCAACAAATATATGATGTTTCAAAAGAAATTAGTAGTCTGCCTAACCTACAATACTTCCTTATGGTGTAGCTCTGTCCACAAACATTTTGGGAGACAGGATCCTCCTTGACCATCCCGGCCAATTATTTTAACCAAAAAGCTGATTACGGTTGTTCTGATCTTGGACAGCATCACTAGAGCTGTTCCTAATGATCATAAATAGCAATCAGTGCTCTTGCAAATTCCTCTTTCTTTTTTTTTTTCCCAGCATGCCTGTCTAAATTCTGTCCACCATCTATTTTCTGTTCTGCTTTCTCATTCCCTCACTTCAAAAGAGCACACATCCTTCTAAACTAATTAATACTACATTGTTAGATAGATTTTAAATTGCCTGCATGAGTTAGGTGCAGAAGCACCATTATGAGTTAATGGACTTAGTGTTTCTAAGTCAGTTAGGCATGTAACAAAAGTCTGAGTAATTTTTCTTTTCTGTTTTAGAGTAGTGCTTTGGGATGAAACCAGGGCAGGGATACACAGGAGGTCCACACAGGATGAGAAAACAAAGGTTAAAACAGCTATTATTGACCATTTTATTAGTGACCTGTGTGTTATTAACTACGATAAGGCATATATTTCATAGCTTAGGAAATATTGTATTCGTGATTATGGGATCAGTGCTAATGCTTGTTTCTATATCAGCATATTTTTGTTACTTTTATGTGTGGTATGACTTTTTAAGTCTTTTCCCTGATTCCTAAAGATCTGCATTTACCGATTCTTTTATTTATCTTCACAAAGTTCACTTTTATTTTTTTGTTTATTTTTAATTTAATTTCACCTTTAAGTCTTCATTTGTAACTGTCTGCTTGATTGTCAGTGACAAAGATTTTTACTTTCCTGACAGCTGCAGAAACCTGTTTCAAGTAACCAAACATTAAAAAAACCCTAAGATGAACTCTAATTGTTAGCTAGGTGTAATCAATTATTCTTAGTTTGTGTAGTCAGGTGTACATAATAAGCTGCAAACATATGGGAAAGCTTCAGAAGGGTGATAATGCATGTAAACAAAAACATGTTCAACATAAATAATGCTTAATTTAATGGAGAAGTTAATTTTATGGATTTTTGTTTGTGAAGTTTTTGAAGTGGAAATACTTTTGGCTTTATGTTCACCACAGACATTTTGACAATTAACTCTTTCAAATCACTGAAGTAACAAAACCTATGGTTATAACATGCTTGCTCTGAAAAGAAAGCATGACTGGACTCCAGGGGAGTTGCTGGCCTCACTTTGGCATCCTAAGTACTTACTATTTCCTGCAGTGAATTTTGACCTGCATTGGAAACTAAGAGTGACTGATAAAATCAGTTACCAGAACTGAGCATTCCTCTGCTCTCTCTCTAATTCAGCAGGGCTTTTTCTTTGTACATCTTTGTGTCTGAATTAATTAGGAGTCTGTGGCCATTGTCAGAACTTCCTTTTTTTGACATTCAGGATGCCTCATTCCCAACAAATTTTTGAAAATTGGACTTTGCTTTCTGAGTAACTATGATAAAAGGGCAATATTTTTCAATTTTCATAAAACCCCTCACTATACTGAGCCCAGTTTTCAAGCACTGGCATCTAAAGATGATCATCTCAATGTGTCAGCCTACCCTGAAGCTCTAGCAAATCTGTGAGTTTTCCCAAGAGCTTGATTACCACAGTTCTGGTCTTTTAAGTCAATTGGTTAGCTGCTATTTAGCCATGCTTGAGTGGACGTCAAAAGTAAACATAGAAAACTAGGTCCATACTCTATACCTCTCTGGCTGACTACTGTTTTCTCAAAGGCACAATATATTCCTTCTGTTGCAGCAGTCTAAGAGTTACAAAGCTATGACAGGCACACAGGGAAAGAACAACTAAAGAAAAACAGTGATTATATCTTTTACGTTTCCAAATTTGAGCCTGATGAAAATGGCAGAACAATAGAAAGATAAAAAGAATAGTTATTGCAAACCCTCTAATAAAAGAACATCCTTCTTATACTACTACTTTGAAGGAAACGTGAGACTTCAGTTGGCAGTAAGCATCCCCCTACAGTATGTTTCTAGACATAAAAGCAAGTTGGTGTACATTTTTGTCTGTATTCATTAAAAAATGAATTTTTATACAAGTGTGGTGCAACTAACTTAAACTCTTAAAAACATCTACTGCAAATGGGCTGAGTTTCTTTTCCTATCTGAGGTCCATAGATTTAGTCTAGTGGGCCTTGGTGTGTCATGAGGTGCTTAGACCCATTTTACTTGGTAATGTTGGGTTTAGGTATGCTGTGGGTTCCTCACGTGAATTCCAGTACTGTAAGACTGAATGTGATAACAGTAGAGTTTTGTTATTAACAACACAGATTCCATTATATCAGTTAAAGTGTTCAATTTCAAAAACTACATCCCAGGGCTAGATTTAAATAGCTAAATGTTGATTTAGATTCTTAAGAGACTCACTTTGGTCATACTGCTCTTTGCACCTCACTCTCTGAAGGAAAGAAAACTTCATAAAGCACTGAGTTTTCACATTAAAAATGCTTTAATTGCAGTGATTTATTTTACCTTAAAGACAACTGGCAAGTGTTATCATAGTCCTTTTTCTTCAGATGAACTTTTATGGTTTTCCTCAAGTATTTTTCCTTCCTTCTTGCGCTTTCCAAGACAAACACTATTATTTCCATGTCCGTTCTTCGGTGTCTTGCTTATGAAAAGCCCCAAGACATGAAATCTCAGAAATGCTGTATCGCAGTACAGCTTTGCAGATACCCTGTCTTCTTTTAAAGCTTTCTTTTCTTTTTCCAAGGTTTTCTAGACTGGGTTCCTAAGAAAATGCAACGGGTAGGATGTGTTGAGCTGCTGAACACAGTCCAGAGACGAATACAGCCAAGGCTTCATGTTTTTGGACATATCCATGAAGGTCAGAACACATTTCTTTCTATATATATGTGGAAGCCACAAACACAGACGTTGTCTGGTTTAACCGCATTTTCAAACTTGAATGCCTGAACTGAAGCACTTCCAGAATTCAGATACTTATTTAGCTGCATATATAGAGATGAAATCGGCTGATGCCCTCATTTCAATAGTTGTACTACAGCTTCTCTTTCTACATCTATAAAACAGGGTGATGCCTCCTCCACAGAAAGTATTACTGTGAATTTTAAAATAAGAACATGAGTCCAGTAGTTGTGGCAAGTGACTAAATATTAGGATTGATGGATTGTATTTTCCTCTGCTGAATCTCTGTGACTTAAGCCAGAAAATTCATGTAAGCTCTCTGTCTCAGTTTTCTGTGTAAAAGGGTAAGAATACTTCAAGATTGCATAAGAAAGGTTGTCTTTCCCCATCAGCGTGTATATGAAATTGAAATCAGGAGAATGTTACCACTGACTTAGGCAGAAGTTTGAGATACTTATTCGTGTAGTTATTTGCTTTGGCAAGGGAAACGTTTAGTACCCAGACAAAACAAAATGGTTCCCTTGACTATTTCATTTTTAACTGGAAATGAGTTCCTTTCACGTAAGTCAGTAACTGGTGACAAATACACTCCACTGAAGTCAGTGACCATGGGAGTTTGTTTCCAGGCAAAGGGAAAGGTAGATGCTGTCTGCTGTAGAGAAGTCTGTGCAGTTCACATATCATGACAGAAAGGTTTCAAGCAGCGGCCCCACCAAAAGAAACCACTGGGCTGTGCAGAAGTGTACCCATTGGCATGTAAGCATATTACCAACTGCTTAGCCCTTGGCAACATTAATTTACTGGCAGAGAAAGGTGCTCCACAACTGCCAGTTTTCTGCTTCTGGGACTGCTTCAGCCTTTGACGTAGGATCTCTGTGGGTCTCACCAGTGTAGAAGCGAAGAAATGGAAACACTGGAATAGCTGGAATGCAGATATTTCTGGGTTTGTGAAGAATCATTACTCTTCCCAAGTAATCTCACTCTGACTTGCTGCTAGGAGCTTTCACCATGCTAAGTTAAAAGTGACATTGCTGAGAGGTGTGCTGGTGTGAAATTGATGGAGAAGACATTCAAGTTATTATTTTACAGCTCAGGGATTAAGTCTGTTCTTCTCATGTGTCTCATTTGTGGTGACCTGTTAATGCCTAGCTAGTGTCCAATGTGCTGTTAAATCACAGAGTAAACACACAACACATAGGCAGTATTTTTCCCTAACCTTCCACTGTTAGAGCAGTCTTTGAGATTCCGTACAAAAGAGTTGGTGAATACAGTTCAAACTCATTGTCTTTTCAGAAATCGTAATCCGAGTGAGTTGCAGGGGATATAAGCAAACAGTTAGCAAGCCATGAAGCTTCAGGCAGGTAAACAAAATCACATCTGCTAAGACCGAACCCAAGTTTGGCTCCCAAGGGAAGAGAATGGCAACTCCACAGAATAATAAATCCTGTGAATTAATACAGTTGGCACAGTAGATATCAGAACACAGAAACAAGGTACTCGTCTTGTTAACTATCATAATTTAGAGAAAACAAATGGGGAACTGCATAGCCTGTTTTGCAGTGGGATGCTAAATCTCTGCAGAGGAGAATTCCCATTGCAGACGGCCTGTGCAAACGAAGCTGTTCTTTGTGGCGAGAATGCATGATTTGAACAGATGAGTTCTTCCCCTGACTGAGCATAGCTACATCTGCAGCAGTCATTTACTGAATATCCAGGAGGAAGAGATGCTTAGAAGAGATGTTTCTTCTTTATTCCCCCTCTGCACTGCTGTCTCTGCCAAAAAATACCTCTACGCATGGGCTTACTGCTGACTGACCCATGGAGCTGACTAGTAGCATGGCAGGGACTCTGGCTAAAATCCTGCTTTGCCCATTACAGGCAGTACTTGGCTGAGGTAATGGACAAGGAAACTCTGCTGGCAGTAGGGTGGGAATGAAAACTCTAGCATTAGGAATCTTCCAGCAAAAAGAGCATATTAACAAGGAGATTCTGTTCTCTCCAAACATGTAGCCGAGGAGACAGAAAGTCCCAGCAGCAATGCTGACTGTCTTCTGTGCAGTTTGTGTTTTACACAGAACAATTGTTCTGTGGCAACAGAAAATGATTTAAAGAAATGTCTGTGACAGGAACCTGACAGAGTTTTCTTCCCTCCCTAGTCCCTAATTATAGTGTGGTTTTTCCATGGGGAGTCCAGGAGGCCCTGCATTATTCAGGGTGTTTCAAGGAATAAAAAAGAGAGGAATTTGGCTACTGTTTCTTTGTTTGTAAATTATGCATCTATCAATGCTTCCATAAGACACAAAATTGCACTCAGAAAAACTGTAGAATCCTAGGCACCTAGGATTTGAATAGCTGTAACTCAATGTATATAGCAATGAATGCATCTCACTATTAATTCCAATAGCATTGGGATTGAATCTTAGTACAAATGCTTTCTAGCATGTGATTTCCCCAAAATCATATATCTCTGATTTTGAGTGCATTTCTTCATGTTGATGATAATGTTTCAATGCAAGTTTCCAACATTAAGCTTTTAGTTTTGGTGAATCAAGCTTCTGGTTTTTCCTAGTCATTCATGAAAAGATTTTTGGCAATGGAGAGTGTGTCTACTTTTTCATAACACCAGGGCACTTAAAGGGCTGCTGCTTCACTTTCTGAAAAAACGTTTCACTGTATTTCTTGCAGGCATTAGAGCTGGAAGTTTGATTTTTTGCAGATTTAGCTCTGGAATTGTTTGGCTTGGGTATCTAGTCAGACATGAGATGTAGTTGAAGCTTTTTTGCCACTGGTGAGACATAGAGGATGGTGTTTCCTCCCATGGAAATTCTATGGTGTCTTAGGGCTTAAATTCACCTTGTCATAGCCATGTTTTGGGGTTTTTTTGACTGGCAGGCATTTTAGTGTCTTTCCATCAGATTTGTTGGAACTTGGTCAACAAGTTCAAACACATAGCAACAACAGGTTCCTACTAGATAAATCCCACCCAGGTGCACATGTACACATACTCCCCTTAGTCAAGCAATGCTTTTTCCTTATTCATTGCTTAAAAGATACACAACATAGGATAGGAAAAAAGGTGGAAAGACGAAAATTGCCCAAAGTTTGCTGCACTGATGACTGCAAAGCTAAATGATAACAAATACGTGTTTTTTTCAGTGCCGCAATTGCCTAAGCTGTATCTTCTTATCCTTTCCAAAAAATGAGAACGTTTTAAGAAAAAAAGCTTTGCAGAGAAAAATAACCTGTCTTTCCAGGAAGATTTGGCAAGTTGGCTACCAGAGAATATAGCCACTAGGCAGTGAGGGTCCATTTTGCCTTTCTTACACAATTTAAAAGATGGCGAAAAGTTCTGCTGTAGGACAAAGATGGTATTAATTCAGGAGACCTTTGTGTTTTGCATGAAGAAAATTTTTAAATTCCTTCTGAGTAATAAATGTGGCACATACTGCTGTGTGATAAAGGTGAATAATTAAAAAAGGAAGAAGATTGTAATGAGTAATGAGAGTAACCAGGGTTTGTCTTTCTTTGCAGGCTATGGTGTCATGGCTGATGGAACTACTACCTATGTGAACGCATCTGTGTGCACTGTGAATTACCAGCCACTTAATCCACCTATAGTTATTGACTTACCTACTCCAAGGAACACATGATTATAATGAGGATTTAAAGTTGTACCAAACACATTAGCAAATTTATATTGCTGGCTGAGAATCCCAGTAGGGATCCATTCAACAAAAAAAAGCAAAAACGTTCTTTTTTCCCTGCTAGCTCTTAACAGATAAATTTTGAGTGACAAAAGTGGATGAGGAACAAAGACATTTTGGTGCCAGAAACAGATTAAAGACTCTTAACATTTCACCATTAAAATATTTGTGAACACAGAAAAGTGAATGCATTCCACATATATAATATACATATACATATATATATCTCTCTCAAGTAGGGACTTTTGTATATACCGTACATTATATTGGACTTATTAAAAGAACAGTGTCTTTCAAAGGAGTGTTTCTTTAAGAAAGTTTGCAGTTTAAACGTAAGTGTTTAGACTAGGATTTCCTCATTTCAGTTGTTTCCCAGTGAGCTCTTGGTAAAAGAAAAATGGTGGTAAAGATGTTTTCCCTTAATTAACAAGGCAAATGTAAAAGATGCTGCACGACTGACCAGTCACAGGAGGAAAGCTATTACTTCAAGTCCTCCAGGTCTGAGTTGTTGCATCTATTCAAAACCGATGCAATAGAGGCCCTTAATTCACTGTACTGAAATGAAGTTTTACTACATCTGGCATTACAGATGGTAAGGGAAATGGTGCATATTGCCAGCATGCTGTAAACAGCTCAACATTCAAGAAGGGAGACTGTGTTAAGTGCAGTATAAACTCAGGAATTTGTAACCTGGCCTCGCTTGTGAAAAAAAGGAAAAGGATGACATTTCCCTTAAAAAAAAAAAAAAAAAAAAAACAAAACACAAAGAAAAAATATAACTGTGTTTTCTTATGGTCAGGTGATACGCGATGGTATGTAAAAAGCAAAAGGAAAACCCACAAAAACCCCGTCCAGTGTTCAGTAGTGGTATTTTAAATAAAACCCACTGGGACTATTTGTTTAAAACCTGTTAATGGGACATGCAGCGAATGATGAGGTTACTGGTTTGCATTTCGCCCCCATCAGACGTGATTAAATATAATCATTTTGTCCTTGGAGAACATTACAGATGTCGAGGGGAAGGGGTCATCCCAAAATGGAGATTGGGCATTCACTTTTGGGTAGCTATGTAGTAGCATAAGTGCAATGATTAATGAGTACACACCGTTCTGAGGACAGAGCCTCACAGAACCTGTCATGGCTGTTTGTCCGCTCATGGACACTGCTGAAAGAGGCCCAAGACAAAATTGTCAACTGAGTTGAAATCCATCTGTCATGTCACATGTGACGCCAGGTAAAGCAGGAGGTGTGTCAGGAGCTCACTGGGGTAGCCAAGTACCATGGTACTGCCCATGCAGCTTTCCTGCAGGTTAACAGAGGTGTTGAAGCTGCTGGGATTTCAATCCTGTCCTAGGCAGAAACTTGAGAATTGATTACAAACTCACTAGAAAAAAATGTGCTTCAAATGTGCCCTGCAAGAAATGGGTTTCTGTCTTGAACTGACAATGGTCAGTTCGTTAAGAACTCTCTCTGCTCAAAGAGGAGCCATTTTAATTTAACTGCTGCATCCTGAATTTGGGGCTGATGGCATCTAGACATTAATCTTGTGCACACACATTGGGCAGACCATCACACTACCCATACAGGCTTGTTTGCAGGTCTGTGCATAGCCCACATACGCACACATGCATTGGATAATTGCGTATGTTACTTCTCGCCTGATCTATGAATGTGAGCTTCACGTAGCAGCTGCATGTACTTCATATGCATACACAATTTAAAATGCCTGTGTCACAAAACCAGGCTATGTCAGCCTCAACTCGAAGCAAGGCAGAAACACTGTATTTCTCTGGCTTCCCATGGACAGCAGCTCTTCCAAGTGCTGCTGCTGCATTCAAGCCCCATAACTAACTCATGCTGCGGACCCACCAGAAACCACCAGAAAACATGAGAAGTCACAGGTCTGTCATTTCCTGTAAGCTGTTGGGTGACCTGGGGTATAAACTGAAGTGCTTTTTCCTGAAACAAAACCCAGAACAGCCAGTGACACCTGCAACTGTCTTTTGGGTGAATAGTTCACAAGTGCATGAGCAGCCTGCCATGAATTCAGATGAGTGCTTTTGTCAAAACTATTGGTATAGAAATTGCAGGATCAGCTCCTAAATCAGCAAGCCCTGAAATTCATAGTTGAACATGAACTCCTGCAATCACTGGGAAGATGAGCAATAGCATGTAGTTAGAATAAAAGTGTCTTAGCTAGTCAGAAGTCAAGCGATTTGCAACAAATGTGGCAGGAAATTGGCTGTATGTTAAAAGTCTGAAATGTTTACATTCGCTCGCGGCACTTAAGAGACTAAAAAATGTTAAAGTGGGGGGAAGAGGTCCTTTTATTAGCCTCGACAAAATTTCTATGTCGACCATAAACTATTCTCTTAAAAATAATTTTTCCTAAGTTATCTTCAAAATACTGTGTATTTTTATGTGGAAAGGATACAAAAGCAGCTGTTCCTTCAAAATATCATTTAAAGTACTTGAGGTATGAAAGCTTAAAGATTATTTAATCATTTGACATAACTTGATTGTTGTTGTACTTTTTGGTCAAGCATGTTAGACAAATAAAGTCTTAAAAAAACTCAAACCGACAAAAAAGAAGGCCTCTTTATGTCCACCTCATGCATTCTGTGGAAAAGGCTGCCTATCTGCTCCAGGAGTAGGAGCCAGGCTGCAGGATATGAAAGGGAAGGGTTGAGGGTCAGCTGGCAGAGGGGCTGGGGGTGATAGGCAGAAGGTGCCCTTCTCCACCTTGCAGCTTCTGGCCACATCCCCTGCAGAAGGCAGCAAACTGGAAGTCGGGGTTGCAGAGAGAGGGGAAAACCACAGCTACCTGTAGCTAACGTATTTTGGTGGGAGTGCTGCAACGGAGCTGTGAAGCAGTAAGGAACTGGGGTGCCATGCTTTGGGAATGAGCAGCAGTCAGGGGAAGGTTTGTGCTCTGAGTTGAGTGCAAGTACATGAAGCTCACAGAGAGGGAGGTAAAAGTGAGGTGACTTAACTTTGTGGGCACAGTCAAAGCCTGGGCTTCTTGCCTCAAATCTGATGTACTTCAGATTAGGGAGGCCATGAAAAAGAAGGTTTACACACACACAGTTTTCGATTGTCAGCTCTATTTAAATTCAGGGATGGTCTCTCCAATCGTTCCCCCACACCACCTCCCTGTTGCTGACCTTCACTGATATTTATCCAGGCAGCATTGCTCCCGAAAGTGTGTATCACTAATAAGTGCATAGAATCATAGAACGGTTTGGGTTGGAAAGGGTCTTGAGATCACCTAGTTCCAACCCCCCTGCCATGGGCAGGAATACCTCCCACTTTCCCCATTTCCAACACCATGCAGAATTGTTACCGACTTTAATTTCAGTTCATTTTGACAATGAATGAGGGAGATACCACTGCATGTCAATGAAAAAAAAGAGATTATTTTCACCTCCCTCAGTCACATATGGCTGAGGATGTGAGATGTTCCTTGGCTGCAAGGAATGAGCAAGCTGGGACTTGGCACCCACCTGAGCAGCTGCCTTTCCCAGGCAGCGCCAACCCACTGCTGCTGCACCCCAGCCTAGGGAACTGGATTTAGGCTTCCACACGATGCTACTTGGTGGCCCCTACAGCCAGAGTCTCCGAAACTACAGCGGTCTTCAAGGAGGTTGCTGCAGGGAGTGAGGCTGGTGGCAGCAGCACGCTGGGCTGGCCCTGATGGGTGCTCCCCTGACCAGGTGGCTGCAGGGAGGGAAGGGGAAAAGCCACATCTTCAGTGATCATGGAGACAGAGTGAGCGTGAAGGTGCTCTGGCCTTGCTGAAGAAGAGAGCATGGGGGGATAAGAAGTAGTTTGTCTTCTTTATCACTGATTGCTGCTATTAGAATCATAGAATGGTTTGGGTTGGAAGGGACCTTTAAGCTCGTCCAGTCTCAACCCCTTGCCATTGGCAGGGACACCTTCCACTAGAGCAGGTTGCTCAAAGCCCTGTCCAGCCTGGCCTTGAACACTGCCAGGGATGGGGCAGCCACAGCTTCTCTGGGCAACCTGTGCCAGTGTCTCAACACTGTTAAAGGAAAGAATTTCTTCCTAATATCTAGTCTAAATCTACTCTCTGTCAGTTTAAAGCCATAATAGCCGATGTAAATGCTTCAGAGAAAGGAGAAACACAACGTTACTTAGAAGGCAATTTTTGGAATAATCTGCCCATGGGGATCTTTGCCCCACTCCCATTTATTCCTGTTTGTACAATTTCTCTCTTAAAACCTTGTATTATTGCTCACTGCTGATATAACTACATATAGTGAATATAACTCCAAATGTTCTTTTCTTTCAGGTACGTTCCTGTCCCTTTTCTGCAAGTCTCTCTGCATCTGGGATTTTAACGATATTGTGGAACAGCGAGCTCCCCGGGTGATTATGCACACTGCATTAGAACAACAGTATTTTGTTTATCCTTGTACATGTGCTGCTGTTTGGGTTTATTGACTGTCCCTTTGTTCTCTTTTTATGTGAAAAGTGTAAATAGGAGTACTTACATGTACCTTCTTTGCGCCATTCATTATTTTGTATACTGCCATTATGTTGCATTTTCCTCACTTTGTTTAGAAATTAAAATAATTTCAGTTCTAGCTAGAGTCTATTTCTAACTCTCTTAACTTTCCCATCTCAGAAACGTTCCCCTCCTCTCTCTGATGTGTCCTTTGGGAACTGGTGAGAGGCAATGATGCCAGAAGAGGACCTCCTCTTCCTTCTTATCCAAGCATTTGGACACCGTTCACTGCTACTTTCTCTTCTGGTCTTTATCCAATTCCGTTTTTCATTTGTTTAGGATTTTGGGGGTTAATAGCATATATTTTCAACCCCTAATGGAGGACTGTGGTGAGCTGCCCATGGCCCTAGCTGGGTTTTCTCTTCAAGAGGTGACAGCTCCTCTGGACTTACCTGGTTTTCACAACCATCACCCCCTTCCTCCCAGGGAGCCCTTCCAGGGCTGTGTCCTTTTCGCTTTTCCCCTGCTCTGGCCTGTTCCCTTGGCTTTGGTGGTGCCCTTGGCAATCCTTGTCACCCGTGGTCAGGCTTTATTGTCAGGGCACCTCATCTGCCGTGTGTGGTGAGCAGCCCTGGGGCTGGGGGTGCTGCTGGGTGGGGTACTGAGCTGAGTGACGTTTGCCCAGTCCTCATCCTGCATTTTGGGTTTTCTTTTCTCGGCTAGTGCCCAGCCCACGACCCCTCTTTGCCTCCCACAAATAGCTCTTTCATAAAGGTCTTTATCAAAACCTTTGCAAGCACCCACACCAATTAGATCAGAGATATCTCTTCTTGCCAGGACTTTGATGTACCAAAAGCTTTCGAATAGATTAAAGGAGCAGGCTTTTCTTTTCCACAGACTGGTTGGCTTTGTTCCCCACTCCCCTGCCTGGTGAAGTATATTCCTCCTTTAGAGCACAATGGGCTAAAACTGAGCAGAGCAATTAACCTCACTACCTGCCACCAGGCCAGCACACAACATGCCCTGGCACTCATGCCATTTGCTCTGATTCAGCGCAATCTGGGCCCAGCCAGTGGATAAATCCCTTCACACCGCTGGAGAGGAGACTGTTCACTTGCTTGGAGCATAGCTGGTACAGTGGATGCTTCCCTCGGTTTTGCCAGAGGAGCACAGCTGTACAGTGAGGTGCTGCTGGAGGCTTGCAGGGACCTTTGGGGAGAGGGGCCAGTCACAGGAAACAGCGACCCAGACAGGTTTGCCATTGCAGTTAGTGTCACACATTTTTCTTGTAATACTTTCTGCCTTCTAGGTGGGATGAGCAGCTTGGGGAGAGCCGGATGGGAAAACACTGG